AAAAATTGGAAAATGGCGAATCTTAACGAATGCACACAACTAAGCATTAACACCATTATTGAACTTTTAACAATATGTGCAATTAACTTTGTGCTTTCAACAAATCGTCAATTTATTTTCAATACAATGAAAATTTTTATCAACAAAATTTTGGAATTACTTTGGGGTCGCCACTATCACCTTCTTACAATAATTTATTTATGGAAAATTTTGAAACAACTTTCCTAAATAATTACAAATTTAAACCAATAATTTGGTGCCGTTATATTGATGATGTGTTCTCCATTTACAGTCATGGCGAATAAAAGCTTGATGAATTTTTATCTTATCTGAACAATAAAGTACTAACAAGGAAATTCACTATTGAAAAGAACAAAATCACCAAATTACTTTTCTCGATATACTGATTCAGAAAGATTTAGACAATTTCGAAGCCTTCGCCTATAGAAAACCTACTCATATTAACCGGTATTTCAATTTTAACTCAAATCAGCCGATAATGGTCAGAAAAGGAATTGCGAAAAGTTTATATGATAGAGCCAAAATAATTTGTATTCAATCTAATTTTTCCAAAGGAAAACAATTCATAAAAGAAATTATAAATTCCAATAATTATCCAAATTCTTTTATTGAAAAATGTTTTAACGAAATTGAATTCCCACAAACAAAACAGAATCAAAATAAACCTATTACAAACCTTTCCATTCCATTTATTCCAGGACTTTCAGAACAAATAAAACGAGTACGTAAAAAATGTAATATTACGACTATCTTCAAAACTGAAAATACGATTAGAAGCAAAATTTCAGTGACAAAAACTCAAGACAAAATTGAAAATGCAAAAAATGTAATTTATAAAATTTCTTGCGAATGCAATAAATTTTATATAGGAGAAACCTCAAGGCCATTACACAAAAGAATCAAAGTACACCAATCATACATAAAAAAACATAGAATATCTTAGGTCACATATTTGTCAACATGCATTTGATAATTGCCACAAAATTCAACGGAATAGTTCTACAATTTTAGCAAAGAACCCATGTACAAAAAAACGTAAACTTAAAGAGAGCGCAGACGAATTATCACAGAGCGAATTTTTACATATTGTATTATCCTACTACTGTTTCACAATTTATTAACATACTTTTTTTTAGGTTCATTTAGGTTCTTTTGATAACGATAGCAGAAAATAGCTATCGAAATGTCAAGGTGATTTTTCAAATTAATTTCTTTACTTATTGGAATTTTCTCTTACAGCTTGAGCCTAAGTGTGTAGCAGGATACGCTCTAGGTGAAAGTTATTGATTACTTTTTGATAAATAATTCGTTCTTATTGCGAAATAAGAAATAATTTATCAATCTGTGATAAAAGACGTGAGGAAATTCTGTCTGTCAAAAATTTTTGAGGCAAAATACCCAACAAGCAATTTGTAAAAAAATTAATCCGCCTCAACAATATAAAATTATTTTTTGCTAAATGATTCCTGCTAGGGTTTTTCAAGGGGCTAGGATCCGTCCGAATAATTGCATTTTTAATGTTTATTGGTATTTATTATTTATTGCATTATTGGAGGATAGCACGTTAAAGCGTGGCGTGTAATCCTGTCCAAACCATTCAGATTTTGGGCTGTTTCCAAATTTAAAAATTTCAAAACTTTCTTTTTTGCTAAACGATTCGTGATAGGGATGTTCAGGGGCTGGGATCCGTCCGAATAATTGCATTTTTATTGTTTATTGCTATTTGTTATTTATTGCATTATTGGAGGATAGCGCGTTAAAACGTTGCGTGTAATCCTGGCCAAACCAATCAGATTTTCGGCTATTTCCAAATTTGAAAATTTAAACACTTTCTTTTTTGCTAAACGATTTGTGATAGGGATTTTCAGGGGCTGGGATCCGTCCGAATAATTGCATTTTTATTGTTTATTGCTATTTCTTATTTATTGCGTTATTGGAGGATAGCACGTTAAAACGTTGCTAGTGATCCTAGCCAAACCATTCAGATTTCCGGCTGTTTTTACCAAATTTCAAAATTTAGACAAATTCTTTTAAGCTAAATAATTCGTGGTAGGGATTTTCAGGGGCTGGGATCCGTCCGAATAATTGCATTTTTTATTGTTTATTGCTATTTATTATTTATTGCATTATTGGAGGATAGCACGTTAAAGCGTGGCGTGTAATCCTGTCCAAACCATTCAGATTTTGGGTTGTTTCCAAATTAAAAAATTTAAACACTTTCTTTTTTGCTAAACGATTCGTGATAGGGATGTTCAGGGGCTGGGATCCGTCCGAATAATTGCATTTTTATTGTTTATTGCTATTTATTATTTATTGCGTTATTGGACGATAGCACGTTAAAGCGTGGCGTGTAATCCTGTCCAAACCATTCAGATTTTGGGCTGTTTCCAAATTTAAA